CATCTGAGGATTTCTGGCGCAGGCACGAGGCGTCCTTGCACCAAGCAAATGTGACGCTCTGACTCGAAAGGTAAAACTATCTGGACAACCTAGCCTCCAGCCAAACGGGGGTTTTGATCCAATTTCAAAAGTAGATCGTGAAAGACAGAGTCAAACTGTTCCAAAAAAATACAAAGCCAGTGAGCACGATTACGGGAGGCATCGTTTGTTGCTAGTGTCATTGGTGGAAGGGCTGTGGAAGGGAATTTGGCAATATCCCACTCAGCCTTTCCACCAAAGACGCTGGCGACAACTGCCCGCCCACACCAATCTGCGCACTGCCTTTAAGTTCGCGTTCAGTCTGCAGGGAGCGTATCGAAAATCTTCTAATTCTCTACATGTGGCAGGTTCCCATCAAAGCTACCTCATCGTGATCGTGTTCGCGGCACTCTAAGCAACTCAGCGGCTGCGCCAAAGTTCTATCCATGGCCACTGAGGCGCTCCCAAATAGATTCCTTCCAGTACTGAAACTTTAAAGGCAGTTGGCACGATGGTTTCCTACTTAGCCTAAAATGCTAGTAGGGCGCTGTATAGTGGGGTGGGGAAATGGCGAAAGAACGGAGTGAAACGGTCAAAATCCTGCGAAGAAAAAGCCTCCGTTCTTCACTGCATTACGGACGCTTCATAACGCAAACGCTTGTTGCTCATAATTTGCTGAGCAATATGAAATGAACTACGAGCGTCAGAAACTCGTCCGTTTGTGGGCGGGCGGGCAAGGAAGGCGTTTGGGACGTAAAGTTGTTGCTCAATAGGGCGTTATAGAGGTACCCTCCTTGGAAAAGGCTTCACGCAGCGCCTGTCCGAGGTCACGGAATTCTGTTAAGCCAGTTGTACAAATCCTACACCTGTATAGCGATTTATCGTGCCAACTGCCTTTAAGGGACATTCCGACGATAGACGAGCAAGAATCAATTCGCAGCTTGCCGCGCGCGGCGATGGGCGCGGCGTTTTCTTAACTCGTGTTAACCTGTCGATTGGAGCACCGGACTTCATGTAGACCCCGTCATCGTAGACATTCATGACTATTTTCGGTTCTGAATTGCCTGTTGTCGCCATCTACTACCTGGAACCATCGTCATTTGCGGGCGCGACGTCGCCCACCAGCGCGGTGAATTACGATTCTCTTGTCACATACCCCATTCCGACCGATAATGTGGGCGAAGACAGTCTCACCATTATACTCTTCTCATTGCTGCGCCTTTTCGAGACGACAAGAAGGGTGCTCCAACGAAAAACGCGTGACGGTGCGACTGACTCCACCCAAACCACCAGCCACAACCACCAAGTACCTCTAACACCTAACTCGTCAAATGACGACACTGCGGACACGGCAAAAAAAAACTTTTTTTTAGAGCATGATTTAAACCCTTATACCCCATATTTACCCCTACTCAATTAGACGACGTCACTTTTATGAAATCAATCAGCGGCGGCCGAATCTGCAATCATACGAGTAGTTGACAGTTCCTTACCAAGATCCCGCCGCTCTTCGCTGCTGGTGACGACCTCGCTTGGACTGTCACGATGGCGTTTCGATTCACAGCTTGACGATTCATTAGTTGCAGAACGTTTGCGCCTTCCATCTGACGAAGACACCGGCATGCCGCTGCCGCTGTCACGCGATTCGCCAGCAGAATCTAGAAGTATGGGATCTTATAATGGAATACAAAACTCATTAAATGAAATACAGTACCGTTATGACCAGCGCCATCATCGTCATTGACATCTCTACGAACTTCACCGCTACCGCTAACCTGAACTGAACCTATGAACCTTCAGGGCAACAAAATCTGAAGGCGGTGGGCACGTTGCTGTGGCCGGACGGTTGTTGCCCGCGCCATTGGTGGAGGGGTGCAAGAGGGCGCTTGGTCACACTCCAGTCAGCCTTTCCACCAATGACGTTGACGACAACCGCCCGCCCCAAGCAATCGTGCCCACTGCCTTCAAAGAATTAGGACTACCTGACTGCTCTGTTCTGCTTCTGTTACAACTGAACCACATACGTTATTTCCTTCCGAGGAACTATTCGCGGTTGAAGTGCTCACCTTGAACAGAAATCTCTCAGAAACCTTACAA